AGGAAGGCAGTTGAAAGGCAAGGAAGTGAGGCCTGATCGACCAGGAGGGTCACGAGCGAAAGAGGAAAGAGGAGGACAAGACAAGGGAAAAGAGAAGATAGACATACAGCCTGGAGAAAAGATCGAGGAAATTCAGATGGTGCAGGGGTGCGATGACCGCAAATTCAGGATCGGAAAAGATTTGGGGGAGCCAATCAGGTCGAAGCTGATCAATTTAATAAGGGAGTTTACAGACGTTTTCGCGTATACAACGGATGAACTAACGGGGATCGAAGCCAGGGTGATCGAGCACAGACTTAATATTGATCTCAGTGTGAGGCCGGTAAAGTAGAAGAGGAGACATCATGGTGTGGAAATGGACAAAATCATCGAGCAGGAGGTCGACAAGCTGATGAACGTCGGGCACATTAAGAAGATTCAGTTCCCTGAGTGGTTATCTAACACGGTAATGGTGTCCAAACCGGGAGGAAAGTGGAGGATGTGCATCGATTTCCGTGATCTAAACAAGGCATGCCCGAAAGATCTATACCCGCTGCCAAGGATCGACCAGCTGGTAGACTCCACGGCGGGGTGCGAGCTGCTTAGCTTGATGGACGCCTCGCAGGGGTATCATCAGATCCCCTTGGCGAAAGAGGACTGGAAGAGGGTGAGCTTCATAACAAGCAAAGGCACCTATTGTTATGTAGTCATGCCGTTTGGATTAAAGAATGCCGGGGCCACTTACCAGCGGTTGGTCGACCAAATTTTCAAAGACCAGCTGGGGAGGAATATGGAAGTGTATGTCGATGACATGCTAGTAAAGAGCAAGATGGAGATGGACCACGTGGACGACTTGAGGGAGACTTTCCAAACACTGAGGAGGTTCGGCATGAAGCTCAACCCGGCTAAGTGCTCGTTTGGCGTAAAGGCAGGGAAGTTCTTGGGATACATGGTGACAAAGCGGGGAATAGAGGTGAATCCCGAGAAAGTAAGAGCTGTGATCGAAATGAAGCCACCGACAAATGTGAAGGAGGTCCAAATACTAACTGGGCGAATAGCGGGGTTAAGCAGATTCATTTCCAAGGTGGCTGAGAAGAGCAGCCCTCTGTTCAAAACCCTAAAGAAAAGCTCGAAGTTTCAGTGGACGGAGGAAGCCCAGAAAGCCTTCGAGGAGCTGCGGGAGACGCTGGCTAACTTGCCCTTACTGGCCAAGCCAATCCATGGAGAGGAACTTGTGCTCTACATATCGGTGGGTGAGAGTGCAGTAAGCTCGGTATTATTGCGAGAAGATGGAATGGCGCAATTCCCAGTATACTATGTTAGTCGGGTGATGCAAGGGGCAGAGTTGAGATACTCGGAAATTGAGAAGTGTGCATTGGCGGTGGTCGTGACAGTCCGAAAGTTGAGGCCATACTTCCTATACCACAAGGTCAAAGTGCGCACAAACATGCCATTGAAGCAGACTTTAGGTCGACCAACAGTATCTGGTCGGCTAGTAAAGTGGGCGGTCGAGCTGAGCGAGTACTCTATAATATATGAGCCAAGGAGGGCAATCAAAGCGCAGGTTTTGGCCGATTTCATATGGGAAGGTACGAAGGAGGAGAAAGATGACGAAAGAATGTGGCAGTTATTCGCGGACGACTCAGTGTCGAGGAGCGGGGCTGGCTTGGGAATAGTCTTGATTTCGCCCAGGGGGGATTACTTAGAATTTGCCGTCAAGATGGGATTTCGAGTATCAAACAACGAGGCGGAGTATGAAGCGGTGATAAAGGGATTACAATTGGCTCTAGCCGGGGGCGCTCGGAAAATCCAGGTCCATTCCGACTCTCAATTAGTGGTCGGTCAATTCCAGAAGGTTTCGAGATCAAGGAGGACCGGCTGCAGCGTCATGTGGACAACATGAGGAAGTTGAAGGAAGAATTTGGGTCATTTGAATTAATACAGATACCTCGAGGGGAAAATGGCCGAGCTGATTTGCTGTCTAAAATCGCGCAAAACTTGGTCGATTGTAAGAGTAGGAGTGTGACCCTGCTCCATATGGAGAAGAGCGCGACCGAAGTCGAGGTAGCAGAGATTGAGGAGGTAGAAGATTGGAGGGCCCCAATCCAGAAGGAGTTGCGTGAAGGAACCATGAAGGTGGTGAGGAGGTTTTTCGAGCAAGGTGGGGTCCTTTATAAGCGATCGTATGCAGGTCCACATTTGAGGTGTGTATCCAAAGTGGAGGGTCGGTACGTTTTACGAGAAGTGCATGAGGGATGCTGTGGCGATCATAGCAAAGCCGGAGCCATGGTTGCAAAAATTTTAAGAGCAGGTTACTTCTGGCCGACAATGAAGACGAACGCTAAAGAAATGGCCAGAAGATGCATGCAGTGCTAGAAGCACGGCCCGCTCATACACCAACCAGCGGAGACGATGACTACGATGAGGGCACCGATTCCGTTTGCGCAATGGGGAATCGACCTGGTAGGGCCAATGCCGCAGGCAGCGGGGCAGCGAAAGTTTTTGATCGTGGCCGTCGACTACTTTACTAAATGGGTGGAAGCTGAGCCGTTGGCCAAAATTACAGAAGAAAAAGTGATCCAGTTCCTGTACAATAACATTTGCTGTCGATTTGAAGTCCCTAAAGTCCTAATATCTGATAATGGAACTCAATTCAATGGTAAGCGGGTAAGAGCATGGTGCGAGGAAATGGGTATCGAGCAGCACTTTCCCTCTGTTGCCCACCACAGGCCAACGGGCAGGTAGAGGTGACCAACAGGATCATCCTAAACGGACTAAAAACAAGACTGGAGAAAGCTTCAGGGGCGTGGGTGGACGAGCTAACATCCGTCCTCTGGGCGTATAGGACCACTCCAAGGTCGACTACCGGCGAAACGCCCTTTAGCTTGGTGTATGGGATGGAGGCGCTTTTACCAGTCGAGTTAGAGCTACAATCCCAACGATCGAGCACTTATAACCAGGAGCAAAATGAGGAACTCATGCTGACCGCCCTAGACACTATTGAAGAACTCAGAGGGCAAGCCTCGATCAGGGTGGAGGCATACAAACAACGGATAAGGGCAGCACATGACAAGAAAGTGAAGATCCGCCGATTCCAGGTGGGAGACCTGGTATGGAAGAGGGTAGATGTGCTCAAACATGTGGGAAAGTTGGAACCCAATTGGGAAGGACCGTACTTGGTCGAAAAGGTGCATGCAGGAGGAGCATACTCGCTGAAGGACGCTGAAGGAAGGTCACTGGCTAGGTCGTGGAATATAGCCAATCTTAAAAAATATTATGTGTGAAATTTTTTTTCCATATTCGAGCAGTTGAATCGTTGTAACCCTCGTACGGGAAGTTATCAAAACGGTCGATTTCTATATGGACATGTTCCTGCCAGCGTTATTAACTTGTTACAAATATGACTACATACGAGCTTCATTTGGTGCATTCAATGACACTGTACATACTTTATATGATCACAAGACGATGCTCACAAAGAACACCAACCACCCACGCGATCTTTCTCCTTAAAGAAGACCAGTCCTTCGTTTATGGAACACCCCGATCAAGGGGTGGGCGAAGGTCGCTTGTTTTCGGTACATCCTAAGGGGTGGGCATGTGGTCGACAACGTCCACGCCTCCGGGCTGGACGACCACAATATTTTCGGAACATCCCCTAGGGTGGGCAAGTGACAAGACCAAAGTCATTCGTTTATGGAACACCCCGATCAAGGGGTGGGCAAAGGTCGCTTGTTTTCGGTACATCCTAAGGGGTGGGCATGTGGT